TCTCTCTCTCTCTCTCTCTCTCTCTCACTCTCTTTCTCTCCTCTCTTCTGTGACCTCCACCATGGGTCAATCACTAACTACCCCCTTAAGCTTAACTTTAGAATACTGGAAGGAGGTCGTGGAGCGGGCCCACAACTTATCAGTGGAGGTCCGAAAGAAGAAGTGGCAAAGTCTCTGTTCCTCTGAGTGGCCCTCTTTTGAAAAAGGATGGCCAAGGGATGGGACTTTTGATCTTGCTACTATTTTGCAGGTTAAGGAATACATTTTCCATCCAGGGCCACACGGGCACCCGGACCAGGTGGCCTACATAGTCACCTGGGAAGACTTGGCTCGGAACCCCACATCTTGGGCATGACCGTTCCTACCTCCTCGGGGAACCGGAGAATGATCAGGGCCCCCCTAATCCCTCTGCTCCCCTAAGTCTCACTTCCTCCCTCCTACCCCTTCAGTCTTCCTCTGAGAAGAAGCAGAAACCAGTCCTCCCCGAGGACCAAGCTTCCCTAACCCTCCTTGATCCCCCACCTCCCTATCCTCCTGCGCAGGCACCTCTACCTCAAGAACTACCTCATCCATCTCCTGATTCCACTGAACCTGATCACTCCTCCCCACCATCTAGTAGACTCCGCCTGAGAAGAAATAGAGGGGGCCCCTCTGATGGAGCTGGGACTGTCTAAGCTTTTCCTCTGCGAACTGTAGGGGATCAGATCCAGTATTGGCCTTTTTCAGCCTCTGACTTGTATAATTGGAAAACTCATAACCCCTCTTTTTCTCAGGACCCTCAGGCTTTAACTGCTTTAATTGAGTCTATTCTTCTTACCCACCAACCCACTTGGGAAGATTGCCAACAACTCCTCCAGGCACTTCTAACCACAGAGGAAAGACAGCGAGTCATCCTGGAGGCCCAGAAAAATGTCCCCGGGCAAGATGGGAGACCCACTCAGCTCCCAAATGAAATAGACGCAGGATTTCCTCTGACCAGACCCAACTGGGACCCTGAAACCGTGGCAGGTAGGGAGTGTCTCTGTCTTTATCGGCAGACTCTGTTAGTGGGTCTCAAAGGGGCCGGAGGCGCCCAACCAATCTGGCAAAGGTACGTGCTATAACCCAGGGAGAAAATGAAACTCCCGCAGGATTTTTAGAACGTCTGATAGAGGGATATCGGATGTATACCCCTTTTGACCCCACAGCCCAGGAGCGTCAGGCGGATCTTATTATGGCCTTTATAGGACAATCAGCTCCTGATATCCGTGGTAAGCTCCAGTGGCTAGAAGGCCTTCAGGGGTACTCCTTACAGGATTTAGTAAGAGAAGCTGAGAAAATTTATAAAAATTTTGGCCACAGTAGTTCAGGGAACAGGACCAGGACCAGGTAGGAACCTGGGAGACAAGAAAAGGCCCCGAGTGGATAAAGACCAGTGTGCCTATTGCAAGGAGAGAGGACATTGGGCTCGAGAATGTAAAATAATGGGATGGCAAAAGGAGTCCTTACTCAGACTCTGGGACCCTGGAAAGGGCCAGTGGCTTATCTCTCAAAGAGACTGGACAATGTGGCCGCAGGCTGGCCCCCATGCTTGAGAATCATGGCGGCAATAGCATCCCTGGTAAAAGATTCAGATAAACTCACTATGGGTCAGCCCCTGACTGTTATAACACCACATGCAGTGGAGTCTATTATTAGACAGCCTCCTGACAGATGGTTGTCAAATGCCAGAGTGACCCATTACCAGGCATTATTATTAAATCCAGAAAAGATCAAGTTTGGTAGCCCTGCCACCTTAAACCCTGCCACGCTGCTACCAACCCCCCAGAAAGACACTGAGATTCCCCATGATTGTCAGCAAATACTTGCGGAGACCCATGGGACCAGAGAGGACCTCACCGACCAGCCCCTAACAGATGCAGATGTCACCTGGTATACGGATGGGAGCAGCTTTCTGCGAAACGGTGAACGTAAGGCAGGGGCAGCGGTGGTCAATGGGGAGAAAATAATTTGGGCCCAAGCTCTGCTGGCCGGAACTTCAGCCCAATGGGCTGAATTAGAAGCCCTAACCCAGGCCCTAAAATTAGTAAAGGACAAAAAGGTTAACATTTACACCAACAGCTGCTATGCGTTTGCCACAGCCCATATACATGGGGAAATTTTCCGGAGGTGGGGACTCCTCACCTCGGCTGGTAAGGACATTAAGAACAAAGAAACAATAGTGGCCCTTCTGCAAGCCTTGTATTTGCCTAAAAAGGTCAGCATTATCCATTACCCTGGACATCAGCGAGACCAGGGGCCAATTGCTCGGGGGAATCGGATGGCAGATGAAACTGCCCATCAGGCAGCAGAAGGTACTTACATTCTCTACACCCATTCAGACCTTGAGGCTGAAATTGAGGCACAAACAAAGGAGGGAGATGCTTCTTTCATTTATACTGAACAAGATCTGGAACTCGTTCAGAAGCTCAATGTTACTTTGGACCCAGAATCTAAAATATGGAAATATCAGGACCAAATCATACTGCCCCAAAAGGCGGCCCTTGAGTTAATCTCCCAACTCCACCAGTGGACACACTTAGGACACAAGAAACTAAAGACATTACTAAAAAGAGAAGAACAAATCTATTATTTCCCAGACCTTAATCAACTAGTTCAGAAGGTAGTGGGAGATTGTGTCTCATGTTCCTTGGTAAATGCAACTAGGTCAAAGGTCCCATCTGGCAAGAGAGAAAGAGGGACATGACCAGGGACTAACTGGGAAGTAGATTTTACTGAAGTACTCCCAGGAAAATATGGTTATAAATATCTTTTAGTGTTTATAGACACTTTTTCAGGGTGGGTTGAAGCTTTCCCCACCAGAAAGGACATAGCTCAGACTGTGGTAAAGAAGCTGATGGAAGAAATCTTCCCTCGATTTGGACTGCCCAAGGTAACTGGATCTGATAATGGCC